CCCTTCAATTCTCTTCAGAGGAGATGGAGACCTACCAAGAGGTAGAGGAGCTCGCTGCTAGAAATCAGCTGAATGACTTGGAGGGGCTGTGTCCGTGTTTTCGTTGAGGGGTGGGGGAATCTCCGCCCTTTCTTCTTGAGCGTATGCCCTTTTCCATCTTTTGAAAAGGTAAGGGAAACAATCAGGATCTCTTTCCACTGCCAAGAGAGAAAGGAGGTTTCTTCTTCTTGTGCGTATGCTGTTTCCCATCTTTTGAAAAGGTAAAAGAAATGCTCAAGATCCAATCCCGTTATGAAGAGAGAAAGGAGTTATCTTCTTTCCCACCGATGGGTAAACGGAGACATTTGAATTTGAATTCTCGTTCAGTTGGAGGGGCCTGTTTGCTGGACTGAGATGGAGCTCTCTTACGTCTCATTGCATAGGAGGAAGCTCTCAGTCATTTCTTGTGGAGGATGAGGATGAGGTAGAAAATCTTTCTTTTTGGAAGCTAGGGGAGCTCTGTCCTTTCTTGCGAGGAGCGAGGTCTCTTCAATCTTCTTAAGACGAAAAGGCGACATACCAAGAGGTAAAAAGGGATGCTCTCTTCTGTTGCCACGAATACCCTGGGGACTCTCTTCTTGTTTTGGAGCATGAGGTCATTTCCTTTTGAATGCTGAGGGATGACCAGATGTCTCTACTTGAAAATTGGGGGGAGCTCCACCCTTTCTTCTTGAGCGTCCCCCCCTTATCAAGAAAGAAAGGAGGTCTCTTGTTGCAGAGGGGTAAACGGAGCCCTCTTCTTTCTCGTCAAGTTGGAGCGGCCTGCTTGCTTTGTTGAGATGGCGCTTTCTTCTGCCCCCTTAGATTGCTCTCAGTCTCTTCTTGTGGAGGATGAGGCAGAGGATTTGTTTTTTTGGAAGCCAATTCAGGGGACGGGGTAGAGGGCTGCTCATGTCTTGTTGAAGGCTAAGGGGAGGATCAGACTCTTCTTTTGAAGATTGAGATCCTCACTTCTTGAAAGCTATCTCTCTTCTATCCCTTGAGGAGAAAGAGGGGACGACAAGGAGATCCTCTCTGTTCTTGTCGACTAGGAGGCAGCCGGAGTTCCTTTTTTCTCGTGAAGTTGGAAGGGTTCTCTGCTCTTTGGAGATGCTGCGGTAGGGGATGTGCCAAGGGATCTCTTCCTTACCCTTTTGGGAAAAAGAGGCTCATTTCTTGCGGATGACGAAGCAGGGAGCTCCCTTCATTTATCGTCAGAGGAGATGGAGAGTTGCCAAGAGGTAGGGGAGCTCGCTGCTAGAAATCAGCTGAATGACTTGGAGGGACTTTCTCTGTGTTTTCGTTGAGGGGTGGGGGAATCTCCGCCCTTTCTTCTTGAGCGTATGCCTTTGTCCATCTTTTGAAAAGGTAAAGGAAATAATCAAGATCTCTTTCCGTTGCCAAGAGAGAACGGAGGTTTCCTCTTCTGGTGCGTATGCTGTTCTCCATCTTTTCGGGACCCAATCCCCTGATCAAGAGAGAGAGAGAGAGAGAGAGAGAGAGAGAGGAGTTCTTTTTTTTCCGACCGATGGGTGAACGCAGACTTTTGAATTCTCGTGAAGTTGGAGGGGCCTGTTTGGTTGCTGCTTGCCGCTTTCTTTGTGTTAGCTTGCTGTCCGACTCAGGTCTCGTGACACAAACCTGACATCAACAGAATGTTGTTCCAATACATGCCCTAGCTCGCTGGGACCAGCTCGCCGGCCTTCGTGTGAGGATATATGACCACAACAAAGCCCGAATGCCAGCTCCAAATAGACCCTATTTAAGCCAGCCAGGGCGGGGGGGGGGGGGGGGGGGGGGGGTGGGGGGCTTAAACCGGATCTATTTGGAAGCTGGCACTTGGGTTTTGGTGCAGTCATGCACTCTCTCACCAAGGTTGGCTGGCTGATATCAACCAGCTAGTGTACGTATTGGAGGAACATTCTGTTCATGTCAGGTTTGTACCACAAGATCTGGATCGGAGAGCAAGCGAACACAAACAAATATCCGACAGCGCAAGGCCAAGTCAGCACTCACGCACAAGCACATAGCAACACAATATCGTGTGTGTCTTCTTGTCTCGGAGCAATACACTCACTCCAAGCCACTTTTGGTAAGAGAAGAGAGTTCTTTCTAGAAGAGAGCCCCTGTACCTGTTGGTAAGTCTTCATCTTAATGCAAAGAAAACTGAAGAGAGGTCGCTCCTAGTAAATATGGACAGGGCGCCCTCAGTCTTCGAAACAACGTCTAAGTTCGCTACCGCATCCTCGACAAAAAGAGAGCTCCTCCGATGTAATGGGAAAGAAGAGGGCCCCATCAAAACCATGGCAGACAGGCCCCTCCAATTTCACGAGAAAGAAGAGGGCTCCGTTTACCCTCAGTCGGCATTTCTTCTTCCTTTTCAAAAGAAGGAAGAGAGCTTAGGCTCAAGAAAGCATTGAGCTTCCCAGACCATCAAAAAGAAAAGACTGGTTCTAACCGCGACCTTCAAAAGAAATGAGAATTCCTGTAACGAAACAAGCAGAGAGCTCACTCCAAGCCACTCTTGGTAAGCGAAGAGAGTTCTTTCTAGAAGAGAGCCCCTTTACCTGTTGGTAAGTCTTCATCTTAATGAAAAGAAAACTGAAGAGAGGTCGCTCCTAGTAAATATGGACAGAGCGCCCTCAGTCTTTGAAAACAACGTCTAAGTTCGTTACCGCATCCTCGACAAAAGAGAGCTTCCTCCAATGTAATGAGAAAGAAGAGGGCCCCATCTTAACATGGCAGACAGGCCCCTCCAATTTCACGAGAAAGAAGAGGGCTCCGTTTACCCTCAGTCGGCATCTCTTCTTCCCTTTCAGAAGAAGGAAGAGCGCTTACGCTCAAGAAAGCATAGAGCTTCCCAGACCATCAAAAAGAAAAGACTGTTCCTCCCCGCGACCTTCAAAGAGAAATGAGAATTCCTCTACCTCATCTTTGAAAAAGAAGAGAGCTCACTCCACAAAGCAACTGGCATGACAACAATCATCTACTACCATGATTGCATCGTGGGCCCCGCTCCTGCATGCAGTTCTAGTCCGTAATGGAAATGGCGTGTACACAGCATGCTCTTCCCAGGGTGTTGTGGACCGCACTGGTTACCTTAGGGTTCGTTCGGGCTTCCGCGGTCGACTATCCTGGAAAGCGCTAGGTCTCCGAGGTTCGGCGGCTGTACGTGTGCGCTTTGTGTATGGTTGTCACTTGCGTCTGGGCTTTTCGAAGCCGTACACGTACAGTCCCTGGAATCTCTCTCTCTAGTCTTCGAGTTCTGACGAGTTCCCTGCGGTGCGACGAGTTTCAGCTGGGCGGGTGGCAAAAAAAAAAAGATTGCATTGCATGACCGCTGCCACTGAAAGACGTGAATTACGATTGAAAGATGGCGGTTGCATGACTGAGGACAGCATGATCTGTTGCGCTCATTCGACTGTAAATTGGCATTTAGCAGGACCTTCGGCGTCCTGCTGCCATTCACGCTTCAAATTGTGTTCTATTCCTTGATGCCACTTCATTCAAGCATTGCGCTAATTCTGCTTGCTTGCATCCCATTGTTCAACGCAGTGCCACACCCCTGCATGTGCACGGGTATAATGTGGCTTCAGAAGCCGGCGTCACGACACGATTGGCGTCAGCAGTTCAGCGTCACCACCTAATGCAGCGTCACCAATCCGGCGTCACCACCTAATGCAGCGTAAGCAATTCGGCGTTACCACCCGCAACGTGGCTCGGCGTTCACGACCCACCTCGGCGTCAGGGGACAATGCGGCGTCAGACAATGTGGCGTCCCAATTCGAGGATATGTGGTGAGAGCCGGCAAGTTGGAAGATGCGCATCCAAATTTCCAGCACCCAAAACACATGCACAACGCATCTTCCGACCTTCCAACTTTGCAAATTTTCCAACCTTGCAATCCCAGGCTAGCTTGCCAAAAAGAGACACGTCCAGTTCCTGAACGGTCCGTAGACAATATGATTGGAAGGAAGCATTTCTGGCGTTTTTGCATCTTGCGAGGGTGCGGGGATGGATCCGCTGAATGTGGGGGGAGCCGGGGGGCTCATTAATGCAAAAGCTTACAAACGACCAAAGTTGGAAGATCCTCAAGAGCTTTGTGATCTTGCGGCGAGTGCGGAAACCTTCTGTGGCAAGAACGTAAAGTTGGAAGATCCGGTTCCGGACCAACCGCCCTAATTCTCAGCTTCCAACTTTTCGGCGTTCACCGTAAAATTAAAGCAATGCGGCTTCAGGAATTCGGATTCGGCGTCAGGTCGTGTGCCACACTCCCCCAGGCGGGCGCCCTCTAATATATAGATGTGCAGATATACATGAACATATAAGTATATGAGCAATAAATAAGTGTATATATATATATATACATAAATATCTACCTATATTAACATGTATATGCACACATCGATACGCAATATGATCTGATCAATGATATGGGTGGGCGCAATTTGGCTTCATGCCGCAACCCCACCCACACAGCCGGCCACCCACCCTCCGTGCTCGCCAACCCGCTTTCCGAGATGCTGCCCGCAAACCTTGATGCACGTTTGCATTCACTGTGTTCGGTAGGAAGCAAGCAAACTCGCATAAGCGCTTCATCCTGAAACCGTTTACAACCACCCACCCTTCTAACACTACCCTGAAACGTTGTTTTTGTTTACCCTTCCCTTTGCCCGAGGCTCTTGGGTTGCAGCAATTTGCAAGACCCAGAGGCGGCCATCCTGGCAGTGTCACTACGCTCCAACGGCTCCTTAAAGGTGGGAAAGCAGTGTGTGGCAGGACGTTTAGGTCCTGAGCAGGTACAAGTAGATGTTGTAGAGAGGACCGGAATTTGCTGCGTAGTTGCCTCAGACGTTTCAGGGTTTTGGGTGTCGACTCGGTAGAAGCGTTTGCGCGTGGAGGGCTCTGGAGCGTGATGTAACTTAGAATCTTAGAAGGTTGCGGCGTAGCTTCCAGGTCTTGCAAGAAGGGGTTTCGCGGTGATGCTTCGAGAAGCGACCGTTCGCAAGGTCTTGAACATCGACACCAACGCCATCCAACCGCTGACCCTGGAGTCCATCGCAAAGGGCACCAGTGTCAACCAAGCTTTGCAGGACGTGAACGTGTCCGAGTGGTCAAACCATGCCATAAGCAATTGCGAGGCTCCCAAGACGACCTTGAGCATTGCAGGAGCACGCACGGGACTGTGGCGGGAGCACACCATGCACAGCCAAAATGAGCGCGAGACCAGCAGGTGCAGGCACCGAAGCTGCGCGATTCGACTTGGACCCACATCGCCAAAACATGGAATGTTCTTCATTAGTTCGAAGGCAAGATATTGTGCGGTATTGCAGAAATTGTGCACAACAGGACCACCCTGCGCGCTCGACGTGCGTGCCGGCGTCGTCACGAACCAATATAGATCAAGCCAAGCACCGGTACTCCGATAGGGCAAGCACTAGCCATATAATCGTACCCAACTGTCTAGATTATATACGAGAATATATAGCCATAGCCTATAATATAGCCGTCAAGCCTTGCGATCTGTCCCTGCTCGTGCGAAATTCCACGAGACAGAACCTGAAACAAGGCTTTCGAGCTCCCGGGGATTGTCGAGTGCATGGGTTGTCTGGAACTCTGGGTGGGGAGAGGCCCTTGTCGCCAAGTTTGCACCTCTAAAGGAATCGTGCATCACCTGCTCGCAGGAGTTGCGCTGCAACAACACGGCTAGCGGGAGGCTGGTCACCGAGGCTTTTCTGCACGCCCTAAAGTGCAATCCCATGATGTGCAAGCTCGGCTATGCTGTGACGGATGCCTACTTCCGTGGCGAGATCGACAAACAGCTCACCCGCAACAACGACGCCGCCCGCAAGCGCCGTCTGGAGGAAAAGCGCCGAAAAGAGGCAGCGGAGGCGGAGGCACTCGGAGTTGAAAACCAGAGCCCGAGTGCTAAGACATACCCGAAGGTGCGTGCTCAGGCCAAAGTCAGCTGGCCTCCTAAGGCACCTGAGACTCTGGAGGCTGCAGCTGAGTTGTCGAAGGAGCCGCTGAAAGAGCAGGAGGCTGCCGATGCCGCCAAAGAGGCCGAGGAAGCGACGCTCCCCTTGGATGTGGTGGAAGAGAAGGAAACGGATGTTGACATGAAGTCAAATCCCTCTAATGCGAAGATCGAACCTCAGAAGGCCGATGCATCCAAAACGAGCACAGAGAAATCAGAGAAGGCTCAGAGTCTCTGGAACACTTCTTGGGAGGAAAGGAACCCTGCCGAGAGTCTCGATGAAAGCTCGGAGGTAAAGAAGACTACCCAGACCATCGAATCCTTTCTTGCTGAACCCTTGGATGCCCTTCCCGGCATGGTCGATGGCAGGGAACGTGTGCAAGCCTCAGGAAATCTTTAAGTCCTAGCCTGCAGCTGCTTCCCTTACAACAACGAGGGTAGGAGTTCAATCTCTGAAGGCTTCCGCAAAGGCCGACTTTCGTTGAGAACTCAAGTATTCAAGGGCTCACAGAGCCTGTGAATCGGATTGCTCGGTCTCAAGTCTTCACAGGGCTTCGGAGCCTTCCGAGGTGGCTACCTCTACAAGAAGAGCCCAGCCACTCTGCGGATGAAGGCCTGGGACTGGAGGCGGGGTCCGCGGGGCTTCGCTTCGGCTTCGCTTGGGCTTGGCAAGTGGAGAGGTTTTTCGTGATCCATGGCCGTCGGCTAGTGTGGTGGAGGCCCGCGCTTTGCCATGGCCAGCAGCATGCATTGTTTCTGGCACCCTGAGGAGAGACCGAGATGTTCCGGAGAGCGCGGAAGAGTTGAAGCAACCTGACCCACCTGGGTGTAAAGGCAGGGATGGCAGGGTGGTTGACTGCATGAAATCGTGACACCGCCGGTCGGCCAGGCTTCATCGACTTTATGTTGAGTCGTGCCCGCGTTGTACCGGATGAGAAGAACCCTACACTGTTCATACTAGAGGCGGTCGACGGTGTCTGGAAGGACAGGAGGGGCTGAGGGGCCTGCGGCGGCACAAAAGCCTACAGTGTCGGCCGCTGCGAGGACGGCTCCCTCAAGGCCTGGGACCCAGAAAAAAGCCGGACGGCATCCGTCCGGTCCCTCAACGGTGCCTGGGCCGGCAGTCGCCTCATGTTTTGTTTAGCAATGTCGCCTCAGGACATGAGCGATGCACAGCGGATGTTTGAGCGGCCTCCTCGGACATTAACGTGCTGCTCTTGCTTCAGAGCCGTGCCCGATGAGGTTTGATTGTGCTGATTCAGCACACACCAGAGAGCAGTGGATCGCAGCCTTGCGTAAACTGCAAGCATAAGGCCAGAGTCCGATCCAGCCAACTCAACTCCACCTCAAGATAAACGTGGAGCATGCATAAGACATAAGCCCTGCCGCATAGAAGTATACCTGCATCTTGCCATGCAGGGGCAAGACGGACTCTTGCTTATGGAAGGCCACCCGCAGAACCTTCAGCAAAGCTGATGCAGTTAGATGCGATTTGGCCGAGTGGCCCGGCTCTTTCCCCTTCACGCCAGCCCGAAGTGTGGAGCGCAGGGTCCACTGTTTTCGAAGTAGGCTTCCGTGGAAGTGCCCGACAGGGCGCCTTGGTTTAAACCAAGCGTTGATCTGTCCAGGGCTGGAGCGCTACCTCGTTATTGGAGATTGAATCAGGTTTAGCGAACTCTCTACCGGCCCTCGCCGCGCCCCCCACGAAGAATCGAGCAGTACCGTGCAGACGTGCGTTGCTTGTCGGCTGTCTTGTTCTGCGTATGCACTGCAGCTTTAGTCTTAGCACTTGCATGCCCGCGACGGAGAACGAGAGGAATTGCCTTGCACTTGGAAGCGGGGAAAGAAGCATAACCCCATATCATTATACATTAGAGCCTAGGACCTAGGATAGATTCATTCTCATACTGAGATACTGTTGATGTGCCCGACATTGATTGGCAATCACCAGATGCCGAGCTTGCACGGTGAGTCCACCAGCGCCTCCAAGATAGATGGCAGTGCTCGTGCACTGGATGCTCGTGCATGTCGTTCAGTGCACAAGTTCATACCACATAAACATGCATTCATGTGTGCACCTGGCAACATGTCTCGCAACAAGCCAAGGCTCTTTTCCCGACGTACACGCTTAGCCAAATTGCCCGAAGAGATGAGATGTGGGGCACATGCAAGACAAATAGCATCCCAAACGTTGATATCGTCTCTTATAAGGTGGTCCCAGCAGTCTCACATGCGCGCGTCTTTGTTACTGGTTGCAGCGTGGGCCGCGCATGCGACCAATGACAAGCAGCTTCTGGCGCAACGATCGCTTGAGCTACTGGCACAGTGGCAGGAGGAATGGCGTTCGACAGCAGTGACCGAAGCTAGACAAGCTGTGGAAAGCGGCCAAGCAAATTCTGCACAGGAGATGGATGCAAACCCGAAGGGGCTTAGGGTCTGGTTCGTAACAAGCTGGGCTCGACGCCTTGCCCAAAATAGCCCAAGCTTTGAGACTCGTTGTTTGGGCGCGGCATGTTCACAACGTCGGCCCAAAGCCCTTAAGCCAATGAGGTTTAAGGAAGCCAGAAACCGATCAAGAACCGGCCTCATCGGGTTCAGTGTAAGCCCGATCGAGCCACAAACCGGAGTTGTTGCTGATGCCAACATGCTACAGTATTGTCCGATAATAAGATGTCGATGTGGTGCCATGTGATGGACCGTACTGTAGGAGTTCTGAACGCTGCGACTTGCAACGTGTAGTTGGCTGGCAATGTTCTTTTGCTCTGGTGGGATGATTTTGGATGTAGGTTTCGGGTGCATTGGGGACACTGTGTTAATCACGGCTGAGGGAGCCTCGATTGTTCAATCTTCTATTCGTGCAGATTCTGGCTAATCAGATCGTGTTGGATAGGTCGAATGAATAGAACAGAGAGTTGATGCTTTGGAGGTGCTAGCATCGAAGCTCTCGGATCGATTCTAGAAGCAATGTGGGTTCAGGAGCAAGGTGCAGATCCGGCTCGGGCAGGTGCCTTCCTGGATTGCGCAGATTCAGACGATTTCTGGCCTAGATTTCGGGAGGTCTTCAGAAGTTTTGGCCCCTTGAGTCCGGACACTGGCACGATGGCTTACATGAAATGGAAGCAGTGGGAGCTGTTCATCGACGGGCTTGACGTGGCCCAAGATGCTGGTGCATTGGATGGTATAGTCGTGCCGTTGGCAGGTGAATGGCGTCCCGATGGATCAAGCTACTTCACACGCATCCAAGAGAAGCGTGATTGGGTTCTCGCTATGCAGAAGAGCCAGTGGCAAGGGCTTTTCGGATCACCCCCCAAGTGGTCTGCTGGAAACTTGGTGGGTTTTATGCGATGCCCTGCAGGTTTCGTCCTAGTTCAGTATGTTGTTTTTCTGGTTCACAAATTACGATCCGAGCTGTCTGTGGAAGCAGCGCAGACGAATCTAGAGAGCATGCTCTACGCCTTCGTGAACATCTTCGATGCGCACTTCGATCACCTGGAGTCTTCGAATTGGAACTACTCTTCATTTGACCTTGCTGTAAACCTGAACATCGAAGACGAGCGTCATTTTCCGCGTTATGCTGATTTCGTTGCTGCTCAAGATAACCCGCCGGTGTACGAGCCACGCTGGCAAGACGAATGGCCAGAGCATGTTTCTTGGATTCAGCGGGGCGCCCCCAAGGAATTAGAAAAGCTTCGCATTGCACTCGTCGGAGAGCATGGGCCCAGTAACCTGGAGCATCTGGAAGCCCTTTCCGCCGCCTTGGAAGATTGGAGCCTTCCTGGGGTCGAAGCCGCCCATTTCTTCACCTACTTGTGGCAGCTGGCGGATCTCTCGGACGGCAGCTCTCTCCGCTCCTCCCTGCGAATCACCTGGGAGGCTTTTTGGGGCGAGCCACTGACAGAGTCGGCGGGCAGGGACAAGAAGTCTCAGCCTCTGTGGACCATCGATCAAGCAGTTTGGGCCTTGACGGAATACGCTCGCCGAGAGCCTTTCCTTCAAAGGTCGGAGGCCATCGTGTGCAGTGAACCTCTTTGGCTTTGCGTTCTTCTTCACTTTGTCGGCGGCAAGAGGATTCTTACTCGGGCCAGCGCTGCCGGTCGAGTCATGTGCCTCCTTGTTGATTTTGAGCAGGTCTTCGGCATTGGCGAGGTGGACAACTTCTGGGAGATTCTCCGGCAAGTCCGCCCCACTTTGCATGGATCCCACGTGGTCACGGCCACGTCGCGAATCACAGCAGAGATGCTCGACTGGCAAGCGGGCTTGAGAGTGCCATATGTTCCTTTTCTTTCCTTGCACGTGAAAGCACGATATGCCCCCGTGCGCGACGAGGTCCTCTTCTTTCGCTCCTTGCTCCCTGCAGGCGCGACCTTTCACCGCGTGCTTCGGCTGATCGAGGCAGAGCGGCAAGCTGCTGGGCCAAGTGGGCCTTCGATTGTCGCCATGACCCGGGCCATAAGCTACGAGGAAATGGCCAGCTTCCAGGCGGTTGTGATGCTGCCGCATATCCCAAATGCCTTGCGACTCTCTGATTGTTACGCGATGGGGCTTCCACTCTTTATCCCGGGCGAGCCGCTCATCCACAAGTTTATTTGGCCAGATGATCCTCTGCCTCTCCTGAGCAAAGCTCGCATGCCAGATGCCCCAAGCGATGTGCGTTTCCCTCGCTCGCCACTGGAGTTTCAGTCCGAAGGTCGACGATTCTACAAATTCCGTGAGGAACGGCATTACTGGCTGCAGTACACGGAGTGGTGGCTCCGTCCTCATCTCCTGCACTTCAGCGCCTCGTTCTAAACTCCTTTAAGCAAGCAGTTCAAAATAATGCAAAGACGCTTGTTGCACCGGCTTGGTGCGAATGAGGCAGTGCACGTGATTTGCTGGACAAGCTGGCGGAGTTTGCCCAAGGACGCACAGTCAGTGCCGCGATGCTGAACCACCAGGCTCGGGGCTCGGTAGCCGAAGAGCAATAGCTCTCGGCTCTCGAGTCGATGGGTCAGGCAGTTGCAGTCTGCTGCAGTATGTTGCAGTCTTGCGGTCTGTCGAGTGAGCGCCGCGTCTATTCTAGGCCCCTATAGGCCTGGGGGGTTTGGTCGAGTGAAGAGCTGTCGCGGCTGCCAGGCCAAGATGAGAACTGATGTCTTGGACTCACAGTTGCAGAAAGTGTGTCGTCCCGGCCCCTGTAGAGTTCTCCCCGAGTGGCCCTGCATAGAAAAAGCAGAGCTACACTTACGCAGTCTGCATTCCCTTGTTTGCAATCGCGAATCAACGAGGATTATTGGCGCTCTGGGCTGTCAGCTGCTTTGGCTGACTGGGCTGGGTAGGGGCGGAGAGGTGAAAAGGTCGCGCTCTGCTCGTTGTGTATTGATTATCATGGACCAATGGTGTCATTTAGCAGCTGCCAGAAGATTGCATCCGCGACTGTCAATGCGATGCATCGGATGCTTTTGGTCAGCAAGCTTGCAGCAGCTTGTTTCATCATGGCTGCAGACTCGCTTGGTACAAGTAACTTAACGGCAGAATTGACATTCCGAGACAGTGTGAGGGGGGGGAGTCTTGCACAAAACGAGCCAGAACAAATCGAAAACACTCTCATTGCAAATCTCCGATCTCTCATTAGTAGGACTTCTGTTGTCTGCGCGATGAAGCGCAAGGCTGACGAAGAGGAGGACCGGGGCAGGTGGAGATGCAGCGTGACGAACGTCGGGAAGTGTCCTGCGAGGCGTTCCAGCGAGGAGCTGCACAAGAGCCAGAGACAGGAACAGAGCGCAGGAAGCCGGCTCGGCCGAAAGGAAAGAGAAGCAAAGTGGAAGGCGAAGTGGAAGTGGTCGCTCCAGAGCCCGCAGAGCCCTGGCAGGTTCAGCGCCAATGGCTCAGAGATGTTACCGCACGGATGCGAAGGGGCGCCTTGGGGCCAAGGAGCCCCCTGCCATCTCGCAGAGCTCAGGTCGCGTGAGCCGCTTGCGCACCGCTGACCTGGTGGAAGGCAGTGTCTGAATGTTTGTCGCCAAGACGATGTGAGGGTTCCGGGCCCAATGCCTCGAGGCTCTTTGATCATAGGCGCCGTGCGAGACATCACCGAAGAGGCATGGACTGTTCGCAGGATCAAGGCCCGCATTGCATCAGCACCTGCAGGACTTGACATTGTGCCTCGCATACAACTTGCTCGCGTGGCCTGGTTTTGATTTTTTGATAGTTGGAGTTCTGTTTTCTCATTCGGAGAGAAGCCAAGACAGGGCCAACACTGCGGAAAAGTCTCAGAAGCCACAGGTACGTGCAGCGGTCAGAGGCAAGTGATGGCTCGCCAGAGGTCTCCCGCAAGAGCCTGGCGGAGCTGTATCGGCCGGGGATGCTCGTGGTTGCCGTGATTCTGGCGGTAGGCGAGATGAGAGGGCAGAAGCTGAGGATCGAGGCATCCCTGCGCCCCGCGTTGGTCAATGCAGGTTTGACTGCAGAGCACCTCCGCAGAAACATGTGGCTTCCGGCAGCTGTCGCCGGAGACGAGGAGCATGTGCTCAAGCTAGATTTTGGCGTCGGCACCTTGACCGGCCTTCTCAAGAAGAAGGAACTCGCTGGGGAGAAGATGCCACAGTTGGGATCTATCCTGCTAGTGGGCGTTGTAGCCGTGACTTCGTCTGGGACAGTCCGGTGCGCGCTTGCATGCAAAGAGCCCCTAAGCGACGATCCCATAGATGCGGCCCTGCTCAAAGCCGGCTCGCTCGTCACTGCCAGGGTCCGACAAATCCAGATCGGAGACTCCGGAGACGGTGGACTTACGGTTACATTCTGTGGCATGCTGTCGGCCACCATCCACCGCCACCATGCCAGCCATGCCTCGGTGCAAGATACTTGGAAGAAGAACCAGCGCCTCGTTGCGCGAATTCTCTCCGTGATTCCCGGCGAGACGCCAACCGTTCATTTGACTCTGCTTCCACATCTGCTTGACTGGGAGCCTGAGACATTGACGAAACACGCAGCTATCGGCGAGTTTTTCACGGGGGAAGTGCAGGATTTCCAGCCCAAGTATGGCCTTCGGGTGTCCTGTGAAGGAAAGACGGGTGAGCTTTTTGGATTTTGCTCTGCAGCCCGGCTTGGAGATGCGACGGAGGATGTGAAAGCGAGTTCTGTGGCAGTAGGTCACAAGAGCACTTACCGAGTACTTTCCTACAACTTCTTGGATGGAGTGGTTACCTTGACGCGGAGACCTTCAGATCTTGCTGAAGATGTAATCGTATCAGTGTCGGAACTTGCGCCCGGCCAGCTTCTCTCCGGAATCGTCACTCGAGTGGCAGATCACGGCACCTGGGCAGTTTAGGCAACACTGTGGCTTAGCGCATGAGTGTTCTGATTTGTGATGTAGCCCAGGTATACATGTCAAAATCAGTGACTACGTGTCCGGGCACGTTCACCTTAGACAGCTTACCGACGTGCCTTTGGCCGCCGTTCCAAAGCGCTTACAAGTTGGATCCAAAGTCAAGTGTCGGGTCCTCCACGTGCATGCGGCCCGTCGGCAGCTTACGCTGACTGCCAAGAAGTCTCTGGTGAAAAGTGACTTTCAGCTCACGCAGAATTCCATGGCAAGACCTCACATGCTGTTGATTGGCTACATCAGCAGCATCCATGACTATGGTGCCATCGTCAGTTTCTACGGCGGCGCCTTCGGCTTCTCGGCGAAACGGCGAAAGACGCGAGGAGACTCGGAAAGGCCTTGCTCGTCCCTCTTTCCGTTCTCTTCTATGCTCGTCTGTGGCCTGAGACCGGGACGGGAAAGAGAGAGGCGGGAGGTGGCGAGATCCATTTATACATTTTAGGAGTCTTTCGTCTTTCCTTCATTTCCCTTCCATGCCCACGAGGCCCTTTTTTACAGGAGTGAGCCTGTCGGCTCGGGGGACCCCACGCCCTGGAGAACAGAAGCGACGGAGATGTTTTTCAACAGCGCTAATCAAGTAGTTTCGAAACACTTGCTAAGGCTTGATCCCGACCAAAGACATGGAGTCTGAACAAGCTCCTGCGTTGGGGATGGCCGTTCAATGTCGCGTTGCCTTTGACACTGAGCTGCAGGGTTCTTCAGGGTGCACCTCCTTTGACCGCAATCTTTCTCTGATCTGAGGTGGACGTGAAGCGTGACAGGGTGGGCCTTTCGCTGAATCTGGAAGACGGTGTAGCAGCATCAGAGCTTGTCCAGGCAAGTTCACCCAATGAACGTCGCTAGAGAGCCTACATAAGCCGTAATACTGCCATCGACATGGGGGACTAGATGACTAGATCACAGTTGACGAGGATGGGCTGACGTTTGGCGAATTCTTGAAGCGCCAAGCTGCCGAGAAGCGGAGCAAGCGAGCCACTGTCAGTGATGGGACAGCATTCAAGGCCGAATGTTTTCTTCACGTTGCTCCTTCGGCAGTGACTCGTGCGTTGCATGCCAGGATGGGAAGCCACGTAAAGAGCGAAAGGAAACCAAGCTGCCGCAAATCAAGGATCCTGAAAAGGAGCTCCAAGCTGGGTCTCCACTCAAGATGAGGATCCGCGCAACTCACGGGCTGCAGGTATTTTGCACGGCACCGGTAGGTTTACGTGGCCACGTGCATGCAACTCAGCTGGTAGATCTGGATGATGTGGGGAGTGGAGGAACCCTTCCGCTGCAGGATATACCTGAGAAGGGCATCTTGAGGACAAAACTCTTGAGAATTCACAAACGCTCAAGGTCATCAAGAGAAAAGGGCAAGTCTCGGAAAGGTCTATATCACTTGGAACTGACATGCCGGCCATCGCTGATGGCACCCAAAGATGCGACAGACTACGAAGCCGCCATTGTACGGCGTCAGTCGCTCATTCCCGGTTCACTTGTCGCAGCTGCCATCTTGACCGTCCAGAAGAATGCCTTAGTGGTAGAGGTCGCGGACGGCTTGAAGGGGCGTATCGCCTTGCTCGACGCTTCAGCAGATCCGTCAGTTTTGCGATATCCAGCCCAGCATTTCACCCCTGGCCAAGTGTTCCAAAGCCGGGTGCTTCAGACAAACAGCTCCCACAAAACGCTCGATTTGTCCTTGCTCCAGCTAAAGCAGTCTCCTGTTCTTGGCCGCCTCCAGAAGATTCATGACCCCATTACCACAGGTGTTGCGGCAGATTTAGAGCTCCCGAACAGATGCTGGGGCACCGTGCACATCACAGAAGTCTTCGATGTTTGGACCCAGCATCCGGCGAAGAGGCTCAGCTTGGGCTCCTTTTACGAGGTTGCAATTCTGAGCAGCGACTTCGCACCGGGTCAACGACTGGACGTGAGCTTGCGCCCATCTCTCGTCCAGGGCCACAAAGAGGCAGCGGAGGAAAAACGGCCTACTTCGGTTTCAGAGCTTGCCGTGGGCCGGAAGGTTTCAGGATATGTGGTGAGCTCTGGGCCGCGCGGTGTCTTTGTGGCTTTGAGCCGACTCCTGACTGGTCGAATCAAGCTGAGGGCGCTCAGCGATGTGCCTGTCATGAAGGAGGCCATCTCCAAGATGTATCCTGCAGGGATGCTCCTGCGCGACATGGCGGTAGCAGAGATCGACCAAAACAACGAGAAGGTGGAGCTGTCTTTGCTTTCTACAGAAAATGGGTTGACTGTGGGACAGCTTACGGCAGGAGACATTGTGTCAGGCCGCGTGAAGGCTGTCGAGACGTACGGTCTCTTCATCCGCCTCGACAACTCGAGCATAGACGCCTTCGTGCACAAGTCTGAGATATCAGACTCCGCATCCATCGGGGTGGAGTCTTATCCTGTCGGGACCAAGATCTCCCAAGCAAAGATTCTAAAGATAGATGGACGAAGAGTCGGCTTGACCTTGAAAGCCTCCAGCTTTACGGCTCAAGAGCTGGAGGGAGACGACTCAGTTGACGAGTTCGAGGAACTTCTCGCTTCTGCCTCAGCCGCATCTCCAAAACAGCTTCGCAAGAGCAAGAGCAGCAAGAGGAAAGAGCTCGTCGTCAACGAGGACGAGGAGGACGAGGAGGAACCGAAGCCGAGGCAAAAGAAGCAGAGAGTTGCCAAGGCCAAGACGGAGAAGCAGGCGGAGGCGCGGCAGGCTCCTAGCCCTAGTTCTTCAAGCACTTGCCCACTTTGCCTAGCCGCAGGCGGAGGAACCCGACCTGGAGCCTTGGAAAGCGAAGGGCACGTCAACAGTGACCTCCAATCCCGCAGCCTTCGATTTCGCGGAGTTCAAGGACGCGCAGAGGGCACGTCGTGTTGGAAGGGATCTCACGGGCTCTCCTTGGGCGGATTTTGCAGTGCAGGTCGACTCTGGCACTTCGTCCGATGCTGCCGATCCGGATCCGGACGAGGAGAACCAAACTGGCAAGCTGTCCAAGAGGATCGAACACTGCCATGAGTAATACGTAGGGGGTTTGGTCACGGCCGTGGCCGGTTAAAGCTGTGTTGCTTGTGAGTTTGTCCAGGCAAAAGAAAGCCAAGAAGAAGCAGGAGGAAAAAGAGCTGCGGCAGCAGGAGGATGAGACTGCCGTTGGCAGGGATCCAGAAAGCGTGGAGGACTTCGAGCGCATGCTTCTAACCAAAGGAGATACTTCGATCCTCTGGATTCGTTGCCAGGCTGAGGCTTGGAGGCTTTCGGGCGCGTCCTTCTGTGCACCAGCCGCCAAGGTTACATGGCTTTCCACTTGAAGACCAGCGATTTGGAGAAAGCCCGGCAAGTGGCAGAGCGGGCCGTAAAGCATGCTCGCCACCCAGCTTCTTTGAAGATGTCCTTGTCGATGCACGTTGAAAGCTTCTTAGGTGGGCTTCGCCGATGGCAAGGAACGGTTGAACGTATGGGTCGCTTTCTTGAACCTGGAGTGTACCTTCGGCACCGACGCCTCCGCAGACCAAGTCTTCCGCCGGGCTGCAAGCCACAACGAAGCCAAGCAGGACGGAACTTTGGATCTCTGTAAGTCCTATAGGACTTAGGTCTTACCGACTTCTTCTTCCTTTTCTAAGGTCATGTTGGGTTTGCGGTTTTTGCGGTTTTTGCGGTTGGCTTCTCGGCCTCCGGGCCGTCCGCCGGGCCTTGACTTCAAGGCGCTTTTTTGACCTCCTGGCTGTTACCGTTTCCTGGCGTCTTGTCTTCGTAGCTCATGGGCTTTTGGCTTCTAGGCTACGCGTGTGACGAATACATGTACATCTACCACATATATATTTCCATTTCCGTGCCTTCAGAGGTAAGTACGCGGCCCAATTAGACATGCAAACGTTTAGCAGTATGCGCTCAGGAAGGCAGGCGCCTGTGTATTTACAGCTCGCGCCTCTCAATCCTGGCGCAGAAATCTGCAAAACCCAGCTTTAGCGCAAGCATCGCCGCTGGATTAAACAATGGTGGAGAGTGACCCGGCACCGTAGAAGGCAAAAGCCGTCTCCAACTCAATCAAAATTAAGGGGCAATCCTAAGGCCTGAAGCTTTAACAGCTACAGAAAAACCAGGCAACCGTGCTATCGCAGCTGCCACAAAACAGACATCAAACGACAGTGCGGAGATCGCCCTGTAGTGGAACCAGCCTTCTCCTGGGCCAGGGAGCTATCTCATGCCCACATAAGAACAAAGCCCTGGGATGACACAGCGCCCTCTCCGAGGCGACTGGGATCATCAGCAGAAACAGCAACAATCTAGCTACTTGCACTAAAGACAAACTTACACTCAACATGGCAATTCACCTTCAGGGTGATCGTTCCATTATGCTGGTGACCAACCTATTAGGCCAGCATCTGCTCAACAACGAGGCTCTCAGAACTCATAGCCGTAGTCTTCTTCCCCTCTCTCGCCCTCAGCTGAGCCGTTTCGATGCCAACCTTTTCGTAGCCTTCTCCAAGGCCGCCAAGTCTCTGCAAGCCTCAGAGAACGCGCCCTGTTCCAAACCCTCTCCAACGTAGTGGTGGACGAAGGCGTGCTTGGAGCACATCAGGTCAAACTTGTGATCGATTCGCAAAACATATCGGCGATGGCAGCGCCGTGCGAGATCGTGGTGTATGCACGCATGACCTTGGCTAAAACACCACCGGGCACCGCGGTGAGCGACTGGTAGATAATCCCGCATTTGAAGCCGGTGGGGCATGGATGGCACATCGGGTGTTGACGGTCATCGATGGTAGCCGCCATGCCGCATTCACATCCTTCGGAACGACGTCGCCATGGTACGTCATGCAGCAGGCCATGTATTTGCACTGGCGTAGATCGCACTTGACCATCATGGCTGCCGGCTCGAAAGCGGACATGAAGCTGTCCGCCACTGACAGCCGCTCATGGTAAGCCTTCTCAGCCGAGATGACCGAAGCATAGGACGTCAACGTGGATGTGTAGGTATGGGACCAATTTTGTTTGGGACTCTGTGTTCCAAGGTGAGCGTCAGGATCTTGACAAAGATTTGCATGCCGCCTCGCAAGTGCGGCGCCAAGTGAAGGGTCGATTCCTTCAGCAGGTAATAATCCGAAAGAGTACGGCCGCACTCAAACTGCCTGCCAGCAAAGATCAGGTGCTGCTGGTCGGCGGGATGCCTGCCTTATCTTGGGAGTGTGCCTTGACGTTGTCGAACGTGCCGCTGGCCCCAACGTCCAAGGTGAGCGTAAGGATCTTGACAAAGATTTGCATGCCGCCTCGCAAGTGCGGCGCCAAGTGAAGGGTCGATTCCTTCTGCAGGTTGTAATCCGAAAGAGTACGGCCGCCCTCAAACTGCCTGCCAGGACAGATCAGGTGCTGCTGGTCTGGTGGGATGCCTTCCTTAATTTGGGACTTCGCCTTGACATGTGTCGAACGTGCCACTGGCCTCAACGTCCAACGTAATCGTCTTGCCTGCCAGGGTCTTGTCAAAGATCCGCACGCCGCCTCGCAAGCGCGGCACCAGGCGAAGGCGTGCCTTCCATGGGCACTGGGGCTACCGATAGTTCCGCGCTGCTGCGGCCATTCGAGCCCTACCACATATATATATATATATATATACATACACCCCACACACACACAGAGACACATAAGCGAAACATATATATATATATATATATATATGTGCCCCCCCTCCCAAGAATTCCGCTTTCGTTGTTCATCGGGCATGGGGGACACGAAAAACACTGTAATGCTCCAAAGAATCCAACACTATCCAAAACTTCCAATCTCAGAACCCACGAAATGCTGTAGTTCATGCTCACAAAATCCAAAATTCTGGCATCTACGGCCAGGCCAGTGGCATATTCACCACGAACTTTGGATTTTTCTTAGCAATGCAGTGGTTCGTGAGTTTTAAGGTGTAAATTTTGACTTTTTTTAGCATTACTGTGTTTTGCCAGGCCCAGGCCACGAAACACTGTCATGCTCAACAGGTTGGAAATTCTTTTTTTGTGCTTTACAGTGTTTTGTGAGGTTCAGGCCGCGAAACACTGTAATGCTCAAAAGTTCCGAAAATTTTAAAGTTGTGGCTGGCATCTATGGATCTATGGCCAGGCCGGTGCCAGATTCCAAAAAAATTTAAGTTTGTTGAGCAATGCAATGTTTCGTGAGTTTCAGCGTAGGAAATTTTGGATGTTTTGAGCATGTTTGAGCATTAGTGTTTTGTGAGGTTTAGGCCGCGAAACATTGTTATGCTCAAACTTGGCCGCAGCGCTCACGAAACTTGAGAACAACAGTATTTCGCGGCCTAAACCTCGCAAAGGACTGTCATGCTCAAAAGAAGCCAAAACTCCAAACCCGGAGACCCACGCAACGCTCTAATGCTCGGGCGCTCCGCAACGAATTCAGAATTCATGAGTTTTGGTGCATGACTGATACCAAAGAGGCTGGCACTGAGACCTTTTCGTCAATGTGTACTGCTTGTCCTGCGGGTGGTCGGCGGCAGCCTACGCCACGCCACTGCATGAACTGCGAAAATTTGCAGATGCGTGAACTTGCATGATCGCCATGAATTTATACTTCTGCATGTACTGCATGACTGGAGACAGCACAGAGGCGACCTGGAAACTGTGCAAAGGAATGAGGGAAGGAGATTTGCATTTTGCATTGAGGGATGAAGGGGCGCCCAGTCGCCCACGCTGGAGCATGCAATAAAGCGTGCCCGGAAACAAGTGTGGGGAGTGCAAGGTTCAGCAATGAAGTGAGAGGGCTTTCATGTTGAGCTGGAGCTAGTGAGCTGTGCGAGGTTCAGCTGTAAAGAGAAAGGGTCTTGAGTTGAGTTTGTGGAGTGGGGTGTGTGCAAGACACGCCTGATTCCCGTGAGTATGCATGTATTGAGCGGCATGAACCAACTCTCAAGGAGTTCTGGGAGGTGCGTCTATATATATATATATATATATATATATATATTGATTGTTTGTGGTTGAAACCGCGAGCCCACCACTCCCTATCACTGGCCACCTGTAAGATCTGCTTCTTTAACAAGGCTTGTTAATCTTAGTCCTAAAAGCTTCATTTTGGCACGTACTTGGCGAACGTTGTCCTTAGTTGTGTTCGTTGACTTTATTTGCTTTTATTTTGCTTTTATGTGTTATGAGTTGTTTTTGCAGTTTTTGTTTTGATCATTTTTAATTTTTGTGAGGGATGCAATTTCCGATGCTAGCTTCCTGCCTGCTGTTCTACAACATCGCCGAGGCCAGGGTGATCAAGCGATTCATTGAATGAAAGCCAATATCGAATGTAATGTAGCCTGTAAATAGTGGGGTGATGCTATGAGTCAATTTCAATATTCGTTTGCGTTTGGCATTGATTGTTCGTTTGGTTGAACTTAACTGTTTTTTAGTGTTTCATTTGTTGTTAAGTGTTTGTGTTTGTTTGGTGGTTCTGCTCAAAACCCCCTCCCAAGAAACGAATCACAACGTCGCCCCTCAGTTTCTCTTTGGATATACAAAACCTGGCTCAGTCTGGTCAGGCCTGTTCCGTTAGCAGAGAGCCCGGATTTAGGAAACATGACTCAATCCATATCTTGGGATGACTGAGCCAGACATTTGCCCGGGCGTGGGCCGAACACAGCGCTGGCCATCCCCCACCTCATTCCACGATAAACTAAACCCTTAATTAACTTTTTGCGGCGATCCAGAACCGCAGGGTTTAGATGAACAAAGCTTTTAATTTTAGGCCGAAAACCTCATTTTGTCACGCTTCCTTTTCTGGAAGCTGTGTATGTTGGCTATAAGAATGAAAAGCGCGGCTGTTTGCCAGAGTCGGCCCCGTGAATCCTTACAAGATAACAATACAATTGTGGCACCCCCTCGAGAAAATCTTATTGAATCTCTTTTTTTGCTCGTCGCTCAGCCGCAGGTGACGGAGCACACGTATGGTTGGACAGCCGCAAATATTCGGCACCGTTTCGCGGGGAGCTCCGCGCCCCGCACCGCCTGAGGGACCCCCGGCCCGCCCCCCTCCCCGTGGAAGCGAAACTGAAGCTCATGTGTACTCTATCAATCTTTTCTTGCATAGATGGATACAGGTTCTCTCTTTGGGAGGAGCGCAAACAAAACACCACGAGACAATCCGGACAATTAGAGACACGTTGCTGAACATTTAATGTTCTCAAGAGTTTTGCAAACTTTTAAGTATAAATAAGTTAATGAACTACTCCGGCCGGATTGCCGCTGGTTCCGTTTGGCTTTCCACAGATCAATTCGTCTGTGCCACAAATTGATTGGCACACCTTAGTTGCAGACCTGGGGGAAAAACGAGTGCTTTGCGCCCCTTCGACAAGGCAAAACCTTGCTTGAGGCGATGAACAACACCCTCTGCCAGGTCTTCTTCACCCTGGACATCATCGAGCTTCTTCTTTTATCTCTTATATCTGTAGGATTTTTGAAAGCTTCTCAAAACTTTTCAATTTGCGAAGATATTTCAAAAGCGTTTGAAAACAACAAATATCAAAAAACAATTTGCGTGTATGTGTTTTTGTATGTATGTTCCGGATTTGTCTATTATTATATGTTTTTGCGATTCTGGACTCTTCTGGTCTTTTGTTGTCAGTTCTGTCGAACAAGCCTTGTGGATCCAAACCCTGTCGTTCTGGAACCTCGCAAAAGGGCAATGGAAGTTGTGAAAAACTCCTGCGTTGTTGGCTCCCGGATATCTTCCCGCTGTGTTAGTTAGCGAGCTTTACCTGCCAGCGGGTTACGAGAGGATCGTCCTGGATGCTGCCCACGGGGTTGGTTGGAGGGCCTGGGCTACGCTGAGCTTGTAAAGACGTCAGCATCTCGACGTTCATCGGACTTGCGGCGAGTATTCCGACGGATTTCGGCATGATCGAAGGATAATGGGTGAAACAAACCCACACCTGAACAGCGACAAAAGATGCCGCGCAAACACAACGCCTACAAATTCTGATAAAACGGTGAGTACCCGAACCTTTTACCCAACACGAAATCCCTAAATGAACCTTGTGTGACAGTTCTGGTTCTGGAGTGGTTATACATCACAAACTTGTGGTTTGGTGCTGAATACCCCAGAAAAAGTTAGTCAGTTAGTGGCTTAGACACAAAAAAAAGCAATAACGAAGATGCCTGTGTTGCAACCCTCGGCAGAGATATGCTGTTTGGGGAGCCGAAAAAGTTACAACTCAGTCATTTTGTTGGAGAAGCTGGAAAGCTACATCTAATATTACGACCTCGACGCTGTGGCCCATTTAGCAATTGCCATCAGCCCAAATCCGGGTTGGCTTGCAGGTTTACTTGCAGCTGGCAAGGATCCACGAGCGCAACAAGAAGCCACAGCTGGCGCTGAAAGCATATGAAGCCTGCTCACGCAAGTTCGCCCATTCCAAGAAGGTTTGGATTGCTTTCCTTACTTTCCTCTATCAGACACTTGCCTGCACATCCGTGCCAAACGGTTGAGAAGCCATGCTGTGGATGCTTCAGCGGTTTGACGACCCGAGGCAGGGGGACTCGGAGGGAGCCCGCAAGGTGCTACCGAAGAGCTTAGCTGCATTGGAGAAGCGGAAGCACCCTCTCGTAGTCTCCAAAGCTGCTTTGCTTGAGTACCAGCCACTTTGACGCACGAAGTCGTCTCCAGTCCAGTCCTTCGGTGACCGGACCGGCGGACCGGTTCGGCTGCGGTCAGGACCGGCTCGCCAGACCGCGGCCGCAGCATCTTCGAAGGCGACTGGCACCCGTCACTAGTACTCAGAGCCGGGACTCCAGAATCTGACCGACCTTGAGGTCTTATGGACACTTATCCAAAGCGCACAGACTTGTGGTCCGTGTACCTGGAGCTTTGCCAGCACCTGCTCTTACCGTGCCAGGGTTTTCAGGGCTTTGGGATGCAAGCTGGCAACCGCCGTGAGGATGCCCACATCAAAGCTTTCACTCCTCCCAAAGCTCCCGATGCTGATCGTGATGAGATTCGTGCATTGTTTCGCCGCTGTTGTTCCATGTCGCTTCTCAGCCGCGTTGGGCACACAGCTCGCCTTGAGCATGCCTTGCCAGACACCCAACCGTCTTCATTCAAGAGGCTCAAAGCTACGAAGATGCGATTCTTCTTCAAGCGATGGCTGGACTTCGAATCTCGATGGGGCGATGTTGAGAGCCCAGCACTTAGTAACTTTGCAGAGCACTGGGCAGCTTCTGAGGCTTCTACCGTATTCTTGCTGCTGATTTGGGCTCAATTGCAGCTTCTGCAGCCGGACAATGGCCCCGCAAGGAAGACTAACACAACAAAGCGAAGACTAAGATGACTAAAGTGACTAAAGTGTATGACGAACGCGGGCAAGCTGAAATCCCACGATCGCAGCCGCAAAGTTTTGTGAACCCTCACTGTCAGCTGTGTGCGGCAACATCATGAGCAGTTGGCAGGCAGTTGCATAGTGTCAGCTTAGCACCATCGGATGGGACCATGTTGCTCAGCTGACAGGCCTGCAAACATTTGTAAATCACTGTATAGGTCCTCTTGCCTTGAGCGCGGTTCTCTTGAAGCTGGGCTTCAAGACGCAAGGCGGCTGTGGAGGCGTCAGAAGCTCTCCACCTAGTCCCCCGGCTCGAAGTTGTTTTTTGCTTGAGTTTCACTTGCTCCCATCCCTGTAAGGAGCGGTGGCATTGAAAATGGTGGCGGGCTGGCTGGGACTCGATGGGCCGTTGTCGAAGTTGAGTGCATATGAGGTTGGTGTGAGTTTCCTGCTCCTCCGGTTCGCAGAGGACCAAGGAGAGCCGGTCGTCCTAGAAGTCCTCATAGACGAAGTGAAACAGGCGCCGGACAACCTCAAAACACTCTCAGATTTGCAGCGGGAACTCTGCGCAAGCAAGGACAGAATGGAAGTGTGGCAGGTGCTCATAGCGGGGTTGCACACATTGACTTCTCCAGATGCCTTGTTTGAGTTGTTTCGCAACCTGGAGTCCATGATATGCCGAGAGCTCGTGTCTGCTTCCGTGATGCACTCGAGTGGAGCTTTCGGCCAGTTGGCGAGGCGCTTCGTCTTGGGTTTCAAACAGTCAAGCTTCGAAGACGTTATCAAGTTGTACGATGCTGTAGAAAGTTTTCGAGGCGGCAGTGAAGAGATCTCCGCTAGCCTCAAGCTGCCGTTCAAGGCCGACTGTCGTGAGACAGCCTCAGCTGCAACCACTGCAACCACCACCGCGCAGCAGACAATTTCAGAGTACATGAGCAGCGTTCGAAGCAAGTTTGCAGACTCGGCTGCCTTCTTGTTGCGATGCTTCCACGACCAGCGATCTTCAGAAGAGAGCCAAATTCAGCATGCCGTCTTGGGCTTGGCCAACCTGAGCCTCGAGATGCGAAACGTGGAGGATGCTCTGCAAGCCTTGGAGGACAGCATCCGGGCGGCACAGGAGAGCTCTGACTCAAACTGTCTCTGTGCAGGGATGTATTTGCTGAGCCATGCCTCTGTCCTTTCCAAGAAGCCCAGCATGGCAGCAGCGCTCCTTCGCCGATGCCTGCACCGATCAGAAGCTTTGGGACTCCCTCTGCTTGAGAGCCTGAGTTCATTGGCGTTGGCACGGCTCCTGGCACTGCAGCCGAGCCTCGCCAGACCAGTTACAGAGGCCCCAAGTCAGGGTGAAAGCATGGGCCCCGCTCTGCTTAATGGGGCTCCTTTGGGGTCTTTGCCGTCGCGGGCTTGGGCCTTTGTAGGAAAGTCTGGTGCACGGGGTAGTGGCTTTGGGGTGTTGGCTGCTCTTTCCACACCGGGGCGTGAAGTTCTGGCGCACGTCAGCTTGGCATCCGTCCTCTCAACTCAAGCAGGGACCTTGGAGCTGTTGCGTCCGAAAGTCCTCCTGTGCCAGGCAGGTGTTTCGAAAAGATTCGGCCTTAGCTCTTCAGCATCATCTTGCCAAATGGTGCTTGACATCTACAAAGACCGGCTTGGTGCTGATGATCATGCATTGGCTTTCTGTCAGTTGGCGGACACAGAAGAGACGGATGCGATGCAGACCCTGCAGGCGCTGTCTAAGCGGCTTTCGGGTTCGAATCGCCAGCTCTGGGTACATGCGATTGGCCCAAAGATCGGCCAGCGCCTTCTGCAAATGGGACTCACGGAAGCCTTTCCGGCGCTGCTCTTCCAGACCGCTGGTGTGGACTCGGAGGCCAAGCTCCGCTTTCAGAAGTTCAGCAATCAGTGCCGGCTACACTCTGGCAATCTTCTGGCAGCCAATCAGTCTGCACGGGAGCCTTGGGAGGGGTTTGAAGGAAAGGCCTCTTCCTTGGAGCTTTGTGAGAGCCTCCTAACTTTAGGCCAACTTAGCGAAGAGACCAATCCCGTGCAAGCCGTGGCATCCTGTGTCCGGTGCATGTCGCTGGCGGATGCACGGCTCCGCCTCTTCCACGGCGAAGCATTGCTCCGACTGGCAAAGCTGAAGCTCGAGCTGGGGGACGTCCTGGGTGCCTTGCAACTCACGGAAGAAAGCACCAGCCACGTTGTCGAAGATGCGAGAGCCAGGGTCGCCGAGTTGGAGGCCGAGTGTTTGCTGGAACTCAGCTCCAGGCTTGGAGACTCGTCGCAACGGTCCTCGGTCTTCCAAGCTGTTCTGGAGCGCCTCTCCTTAGCCTGTGTATCTGAGTGCCAGAGTCGGCAGAGGAGGTGCCACTACTTAATGGCCAGGACCTGCCATGAACTTGGGAGACATGCGCAACGAGACCGACATGCCCGCGAGCTTCGCAGACTCACGGAATCTCAGAACATGATATCCCCGCTTTATCCTGCGGTTTGAAAATGCAGGTGTAGTTGACTTGAGTCCGCCTGCATGCAACTGTAGGCCTCGAGAACTCTTCCGTTTAAGGCTTCCTTACGGACAGTGTTGAAGGGCGGAATTAAGACAAACAGCTCCCTTCCGCACAGCTCTGAACCCGTACATCTCTCTGCACTTGAATTGTCTGTTACCTTAGCATGCCGAAGAGCTCATGGCTCGTCTTCGATTGGATTGAATCTGAACATGCCCTTAGGTCAGGAGCAAGTGCGGTCCAAGGCTCGTGAGTATGTGGAAAGCCAAGCCTAAATTGGGCTGTTTTCTCCGACGTGTCACCACATTGCAGCCCCGGTCAAGAGTCGCGACTACCCAGAGGCTGCGCCAGGCTGCATGGATTTACAAGAGAACCGCAAAGGGTCCAATGCTTGTCCGATCATGATTGACGAGGATGTCCTAAGCCATCGTCGCATCGCCCGTCCGGCAGCAGTCTTTTCCTACAAGTCGCGATAGGCATTGGCAACCAGTTAAGGCATTCCCCATCAGCTCCAGCCCCCACACACACATACATACACACACACACACACAGACAGCACAGGTGTACCATGCGACCTGCAGACATGCATCGCAAAGTTGTTGAGACTTTGGATTCGGACAAGCCGAAGCGACACAGCAGCCCAGTCAGAAGTAGCCAAGTAAGTTCAACCCGCGCTGACAATGCGACAGATACATCGCCCTCAACAGGCCTATGCGGATCGTTTGAGTTTGACTTCCCAGCTGGCTGAGTCAGCAGGCACGCAGTGAACATGCCTTCGTGAACACCTTGCTGGAAGCCCTTTCCGAGAATGCGAAAATCCAGATCGAGGCAGCCGGGCGCCCTGCGAAGGTGCTTCTCGCACGAACATGACCTGGTTGTGCAGCCAAGGTGGCTCCGGATGGCAACCATCCACGTGGCAGCCCACCTAGCCAAAAGGAAGCTGTTTCTGGGTCATCGAACACCGATTTCTGATGTTTTTTTAGATGCCAAGGACCGATTTGGGAGAACCCATGGGATGACCGGGACCAGATGAGACTCAAACTGCACGAGCTAGGGACTACCTTGAAGCGCTATGGGCCTGGGGCTCAGCGGGTTCACACTGGTTGCCAAGATTGTTTTGCCTCTCTTCTTTCCCCTGCCTGCGAACGCCTGGTGGCAAAGTTGAGTATCTCGAAGGAGATTATACCAGGGAAGGAAGGCCCCAAATTTGGCTCAAGGTTTTTGGCTCAGGCTCTCGGATGAAAGTGTGTTTTCAGTTGCTTGGTTGCCATGGATGAATTTCCAACTGTTTCTGATTCTGAGATGGAGAAGAAAAAGGGGTCGTGAGAGCTTGGCTGCTGACAGCAGGCAGGTCGTTCCAGTGAACCCACCCCGCCTCGATGTCGCTGTTGCTCCTGATGCTCCTGCTTGGGTTCACCAACTTCACCTACATGCCCACATGACGACAGAGATCGATCGGGTCGCTGTTAACTCTGCAGCTTTGCAACACGAAATCGATGGGCTTAAAGCTTTGAGGACCTCTGATGCTACACGCATCGCCAGCCTTGAGAAGAAAGTTGATGAACTTATTCGACTCCAGGCGAATCATGATGCTACACGTACAACCCGGAGTGCTTCTCCAAAGACTGCTCGTGATGATCCTTGGGCTGGTAAGCGGTTGGGTGTGTCCATTCCTCCTCCTGCTTCTCTCGGTGGCTCCTACAAATCAAGTGGATCTGGAGCTTCGCAAGCTGCAGATACGGATTGGTCTCATCTTATCCTTGGGGGCTGGGATGTTGACACATCCAAGCGGGTGGTTGAGAAGGACGTGGAGGGATTCCTCGGTCAATTCCATATTACCGGGCTTCAACGGCATGCAGTGTTTGGACCTCGAACTCGAGTTGCGCATGTCTTTCTTCAAGACGCCCCAGAGTCGACTGCAAAATCGCGGTTGATTTGAAATGCTTCCTCGCATCAACAAGGTCTTCAAGTTGAGCAACAATGCGATGATGTGGGTTTCCCCAAGCAAAAGTGTGGAGAAGAGGGCTATGAACAGAAACACGAATAAGGCTCTTGAGAAAATCCATCGACTATGCCCTCAACCATGCACTGAAATTGAGACGGACTGGAAAACTGGTATCATCTGGCTCCGGGGAAAAAGGGTGGCCACCGCTTCATGCAGAGATCTTTTCTCTGAGAATGTCGACATGGTGATCACACTGGTAATGCCCGGGGATGACAACTTGGAGAGTGGATGGGAGAGGTATCGTCAGAAATCTGCAGCTACATATGTCTACAGGAAGTTTCTGCACTCGATGCGCTTGTTGATGTCACACGTACCGATTCAGATGCTGGTTCTCTCACGGAGTTTCAAGCCAACAACCCGTCTTCGGACTTGCATGATTATCACATTTTCGGTTCAAAACATCTTGAATCTCACCTTGCGCAGGTGATTCTGTTGGACAGGGATTGGGTTGATCATATCTCTTTTTCCTTCTCCTTCGGAAGAGGTATTGGGGTAATGTTCTGGAGAGTGCAATGCCCTGGTGGCGTGTATTTCTCGGTAATTTAGAGGTTTTCACACGAGTTTTTGCACCCAGAACTTTAAGCGTTGTGTTGCCTCATCCAGGCATTGCACCCTTGATTTTGAGTCTTGGGCATGTCACGAAGTAGGAATTTGTTGGGGAAGAGGGAGGAGGTTTGCCATCCAGCATCTCCATTGAAGTTGAGGTGCGTGATCTGGCATATCATGTCAGAATCGTTAAGAATCCATCACAACCCCTGGGTGTCTATCCACATATGCATCTGACTTTAATGGATGCGTGTTTATGGAAATGTGTATATTTACATGTGCATACGAATGTTGACCTGTAACTTATTGTATATATCATGTCTTTAACTAGGGAATGAAATTGTGACGTGGGCTGCAGCATAAATGCAAAAAGACTATATTGACAGGCAGACCGTCATCGATGTGCACAACCGCATCTGAAGCCGTGGCGAAAGGAATGTCTACACTCCTACACTTATAAAGCTCTGAGGGGTTTGCCACCGTTGAAAGAGTTTTTGGGTTTGCTACCCATCATCTACTTTTGAAGCCTTGGATTGAGAGTGCAACATCTTCTAGTCTGCCTGTAGTTGGGAAAACAGTCATCGATTTGAAGATCCAGTTGTGGTTCCGCCACTCATCGAACTTCTACGGGGGTTTGGCTCATTACATCCGTGTGCGGCATGCGTTTCAGCCGAATGTCTTCCAGTAGAGTTTGGATGCTCTGGACACACGTCATCTTTTTCGGTACTTAGGTTCGCTACACACTATATATCTGTCGTGGATAAGTGTAGCCCGTGATATTTGCTAAAGTGTTCAGACTCTGGTTTTTATTCTGGTGGTCTCCCAGCATCCCCTACTGTGATTTGCATTTCTGGCCGGGTGGGCCACACCTTTTAAGGATTAGCTTACGGTGTAATGGGGCATGTTAATCAGTTATTCTATTGAAGACCTGTTGTTCGCCATCATCCACCCACTTCCATGTAAATCCCAAAGACAATGTAATTACCCATTTCCGTGATGCACACAAAATTATATGCGTGTGTATGTGTGTATACATGTGTCATCCACCCTTAATATGCTTGCAAGGTTCCAATTTACTTCGCGTGTGCAACTGCAGAGTGGCCTTGCGGTTACATACCCAGGTACTTGCATGTATATCAGAAGAAAATATATATATATATATATATATATATACATATATATACATATATATACATATATATATACATATATATACATATATATATATATATATATAGATATGCATATACATGTGTGTGCGCGTGCATGGGCTTCCAAAGTTCACGAACTTGTATATGGTTGCATAGGCTTCGAAAGTGCATGAACCTTGTATACATGCATATCTATATGTATACATATATGTACACACACACATATATATATGTATATGTAGATGTATATATGTACAGGTATGGAGGACGTGCTTCCACACAGATTTGAAATTCCGCATCCTGTACCCACCATGCCCATTCGGGGTTTGGGATAGGAGCCTGAGGCCCTCCATTTTCCTTTGAGTGCATGGCTGCCTAAATGCCTCATTGTTGCATACACATATGTTCGCATATTTCAGATATATTGCACATGTTTCCGTGATACTTATGTATGTACGTATATGCCCGTGTATGTACATACGTATTAAGCATATATGTATTTGTGCATAAGCTTTGGAAAAGCATGAACATGGAAACAGCATGAACATGTGTGTATGTAAACATACACATCCATATGTTGGTGTGTATGCATGCCTGCATGTCACATACCAACATGCATACACAGACGTGTATATAGATACATATATACATATATATGTAGGTACAAACACCTATATACCAAGGTTGGCTTGCAGGTAATTATATATGTTCCGCCTCAAATGTAACAAGTATTTTGTAGCCTTGTTTGCTGCATTGTCTAAGTTTCCGGGTGAGGGTCCAATATCTTCTACGATGTCCAAGAATGTTGGAAGCCAATGACGACTTTCCGTTTAATTCCGTCTAAGGTTTTGGGTTCGCCACCCAGCATCTCTTGAGACGGTTAGGACCATCATATGCATTTGGGTTCGAGGCCCAATAACTCCTTCTGAATTTGGGTCGCGGTACAAGGATCTTATTCCCATCATACTTTTACTGTGTAACATGAATTACCCATCATATCTCTGTCATGTATGAGTGTCATCAGTAACCCATGTCACAGTTTTCAGGTGTTGGAATCGCTTTCCTAGGTGGTGGACAACAATAGCAAGCGTAAAGTCTTGACAGAGGGATGTTTCATTGGATAGGACAGGACAGGATTGGTGGCATACTGGAAACCCTGAAATGATTGAGTAACACTGGGTTGGGAGTGCCAAAGGCCGAAGTCCCCAAGCATCCTCTGCTTAGAGACATGCGCCCTCCGGATCTCCGTCCAGAAAGTCCCTGGGGGCGGGGGGGGGGCGCAAAAGAAAAAAAATTCTGGCACCGGAGATTTTGCACACCATTTTTTTTTTTTTTGTTGGCGCCCCCCCCCCTCCCCCCCAGGGCTCCAGGCCTCCATACTCCAAGGCCTAGAGCCACACCTTAAGGCCATGCCCTTATGTCCTTGAAAGTTTGTCCCATAACTTCATCTCTCTCCAAAAGGTGTACGGCTGGGTTGGGAGTGCCAAAGGCCGAAGTCCCCAAGCATCCTCTGCTTAGAGACATGCGCCCTCCGGATCTCCGTCCAGAAAGTCCCTGGGGGCGGGGGGGGGGGGGGGGGCGCCAAAAAAAATCTGGCACCAGAGATTTTGCACACCATTTTTTTTTGCGCCCCCCCCCAGCTCCCCCCAGGGCTCCAGGCCTCCAGGCCTCCATACTCCAAGGCCTAGAGCCACACCTTAAGGCCATGCCCTTATGTCCTTGAAAGTTTGTCCCATAACTTTATCTCTCTCCAAAAGGTGTACGGTTATGCCCAAGCATTTTCATATGTTTTGGTGGAATTTGTTATCAATTCACAACACGTCGTAAAATGTTGTATGCATCTAAAAGAATGTTGCGGGAAGCGAAGAGCTTGCTGAGCTTGCCATCCGAGAGTGCAAGTGAAAACACGAACACACGAAAAAACACGCCACCAGGGCGTGATGTTCTGTAAAATCCATGCCAAAGAACTCCACGATCTTTCATTACTTTTTGAGTGCACATTTTCCACACACTGCCAACACTCAACAGGACTTTGACCATGCAGTGCATCTCCTTACAACGTGTTTGCGATCAAAGGTGAAGAAAGGTGAGCATGTTATTTTGGCTGGTGACTGGAACTGTCAACCAGATGACCCACGATTTGATCAGCTTCGTCTTGCACTTTGCGCGCTGGGATTCCATCCCTTTCTTCCTGGCACTCCTACTTGGTTTGGCAGATCTTCCAACAAACGTTTTGACTATTTCTGGCTCAATGTGATCTTACTGGTCAGCTTATTCGCACAGAGGACTCTGCTAGTGGAGGTGATGTTGACGTTTTTGATTCTGCTAGGCTTACTCTTGGCAGTGATCATTCTCTGGTCTTGGTGACTTTTGC